GCACATGACTTCTATTTGAATGAATAAGCGTAGGTTTGTTTTGCAGACTGAGTCTTTACCCTATGGATACATCTCTGGGTAGTGTCATTACTGAGTTGAACTGCAGGATACCCAATGGAAATGGGTACAAAACTACCCTCCATGCCTCATTATATTTCCCTAGTTCTGGATCATCACACTGTCATTGTTAATTTTTGGGTCTATGGTACCCGCTAGACCTAGGGACAGGGACTTCACCTACCTGATAAGACTTCAAACAGATTCCTTAGATCTGCCACGTGGCAATAGCTCAACGAACACTTGTTGATGAGCATTATGTCTTGGCTATTCAGAGATCCCTGTCCAGGCTTCTATTCCCAGATTAGGGGCTAAACTGGGGAGGTGTGTTAAGCAGACTTAACCACTTCCTTAATCCAATTCTACCCTGTGTACTCAGATTAATTAGTGTCATATTAACACCAAAGCCAAGTATGTAAAGAAGCAAAATTTTCTACTTCCCACCTAAACATGCATATATTCCCTTCACTTCAACAATCAGGCATCACCCGCTCAGTATCACTTCAAGCCCTTGCTAAGGAGTGAAAGGTAAAAACAAACTCCAGGAACAGGGATGTGCCACAGTATCCCTGGCCTGACAGGTGACACTCCGCTAGACAAGGTGGGAAAGCCCTGATGATGGCAGGAAAAAAAGGCAGACGGGGACAGAGAGGGTGAAGAAGACCCGGCCAGTGTGGTTCAATGGTTGAACATCGACCTATAAACCAGAAGGTCACAGTTCAATTCCCCGTGAGGGTATGTGCCCAGGTTTCAGGCTCGATCCCCAGTGTGGGACTTGCAGGAGGCAGCCAATCGACGATTCTCTCTCATCGTTGATATTTCTATCTCTCTCCCCCTCTCTGAAATCAACAAAAATATATGTTTTTACAAATTTAAAAATAAAAATAAATTTCCTTTTTCTGTACAATGGAAGTGATACTATCCTTTTCACTACATGGCTACAAGGCTTTAGTGTCTGAAACTCTTAACATATGCCAAACAGTGTGCACTTGACAAACGTTAATTTCCTTCTCTTTAAGGGCTAGAATGAATCAGCACTAAACTTATTTCCTTCCCAGAAAAGCTCCTGTGAGGCAACCAAGACTGAGTTCCTAGAGAACTACTGCTACAGGCTGCTTTGGCATTACCTGGCGCTTGTTAGAAAACGCAGCTCAGCCCCACTCTAGAGCTACCGAGTCAGATTCTGCACTGGAACTAGAGCTTCAGGTGATTCACTCACAAAATCAAGCTGGAAAAGCACCATCTGAACTACAGCTGAGTTAAAAAAAAAAAAAAAAATGAACTACAGCTGAACTTAGTACCTTAATGCCATTGTAAAACCACCAGTCAGCACTGAAGACAGTTGGAATGAAGGCGAGGGCAAGGGAAAAAAAAGAGCTCTTTTTCAGAAACTTTAGGCTTGGAGATTACTGGAGTTCTTGGGTTATACAACAGAGGCTACGACACAATTTCTATGATCTACATATAATTTGTTTTACAAATACATTAATTTTTCTCAGTGAACCCCGCCACAAGCACACGATATGGGATACTTATGGACATCCCACTTCACAGGTGAGAAAGCTAAAGCTTATCCTTCAACTCCTCCAAACTGGTTGTTCTGCTTGAAAGCCTTCTTTGCCTTCCGATGGTCCACAGCAGTGGTTCTCAGGCTATGGCGTATGTAAGACTGATCCAGGGAGCAATCTGAGAATGTAGATTCTGTAAAGTCTGATTCAGGGGTCCTAGAATCTGTGGGGATGCTAGGAAATAAAATCACTAACACCCTCAGATCCACTCTCCTTGAGACCCTGTACAAGCTGGGCCCCAAGGGCATTTTAGGGACACCCCTACTCATCCTTCCAATGCCAGCTGAAAAGGATCTCAACCACGGGGCCACACCAACTGCTGGTAGGCCTACAATAGCATTTCTCAAACCTTAACGAGCAAATCAATCACTGGAGCATCTGGTTATGCTGTGATTTTGACTGATTCAGAGTCTCTAGCCAGTTTCTGGATGCACTGATGGGTAGGATGGCCTGCTACACTTCACAGCATGAATCCAGTGTAGCTGGCATTCATGGGGCCAGGCTTCCATAGATATTGTTGCAAACAGCTCCCAGAATTCCCTTAAAATTCACAACAAGCAGAGAAACAAGTGAAACAAACTTTGTGATTGACGTAAAGCACTTCCTAGAGCCCAAGTGCTGTGATTATTTTTTAGTGTCAAACCACTGCTACCATTCACTGACCACTTACAACTTGCAGCCTGGGCCAGGTGCTTTGTGTCTGCTCTTGTACGAAAGCACTCAGACTTAGGTAGGCCGGAAATACTAGTAAGTGGTAGCCCTTACTTCTAATTCTCACAACAAACATGCCAGGCTTATAAGAGCCACATTCTTTATCAGGGATCGCACTAGCCACCTTTCTAAAGAGGTGCACTTAATCAGTAAGAAAACTAACAAAGGCCGAGACCGGTTTGGCTCAGTGGATAGAGCATCGGCTTGGGGACTGAAGAGTCCCGGGTTCGATTCCGGTCAAAGGCATGTACCTTGGTTGTGGGCATACCCCCAGTAGGGGGTGTGCAAGAGGCAGCTGATCGATGACTCACTCTCATCGATGTTTCTAACTCTCTATCTCTCTCCCTTCCTCTCTGTACAAAATCAATAAAATATATATATATTTTTAAAAAAAACTAACAAAGAAGTTAAGTAACTTGCCCAAGTTAGTTACCCAGCTAGCAAATAAGGCAGCCAGCATGTAAACTCAAGCAATCAGACTGGAGACCTCAGTCAGGCTTATAAGCATATTAATACATCCACATTCCCTTAAAAAAGGACACAGGTTCAGAGAGATGAGGTGTGAAGTCAACAGTCTTAGGACAATTAGCTGCTGTAGAATGGGAGTGAAATGGAAGTCCAGGGCTGTGACTCCCAAGCTCCAATCTATGCCATGCTGCCTTGCCAAACTTACCAATCAAACCCTGAAGTAAACAAAGATGTGGATTATGCTTAACATGTGGGGAAAGTCAGTCTGCCTAGCCCAGTGCTCTGCTCAGCTGCAGAGTTCCCAAGTCTCCCCAGACAGGTCTCCCCAGACAGGCCCACCCTGGTCACATGATGCTCACGTGTCCTTCTCCTTCTCAGAACTTTCGTACTCCAGGAACACGATGTGCTGGGGGTAGTGGCCGCAGATATCCCCATTCACATTCTGGATCACACTGTAACAGTAGTCTCGGCCAAACAGCTCCAGACACCTCTTCTCGATGCGTTCAACCTGCACAAAGGAAAAGACCTGAGTACAAGGAAGATTCTAGGGCTCTGAGTGTGAGAATTAGGTGGTGTATGACCTGGAGAGGTCACTGAAAATGACATATACCTCTGTGATTATTATTCAATGCCAGGAAAAGACCTACTGCAGGGTCACAGGCCCTAACTGTGTAGTTCATTAACCAATGTGTTAATTGGTTATTATTAACCAATGTGTTAACTGGTCCCTCCCATGTATAACATGGGAGGGACACTGAACCCCTCAACGTTGCAGTGAGATTGTTAAGCATTTGAAGAGAGGATTACAGCTTTCATCTAGGTCTGGCAATGAGAATGAAGGGAATTCCAAACGGTAGAGAAAAGAGGAACTGAAGCCTGCTTTTGGTAAAGGAACAGAGTGTGTAGGCTGTGCTCCGGCTCTCTAGGGGGAAGGAAAGGGATGGGCCCACTTTTAGTGTCAGGCTGTGTACCAGACAGTATAAGGAGGCAACATAGTTCATCTCTTGACTCCCATTCAGCCCCACTACTCCAGCTCCTTCATTCTGACCTTTGAACCAGAGGAATACTCTAGACTTTTAGAAATATTTTGTCCCTGCCGGATGCAGGGGAGTAACTCTCCTCATTTCCTCACTCTGTTCCCCGACCTCCAAAAACCCCCGCCTCAAACCGAAAGGACTTACTTCCTTGCTACAGAATGACCTCGGTTCCTCCTTTCTCGGTTTTTACATCGACCCTTACTCTCCGGATCCAAGTCCTGGGACCTCTCCTCCTTCCTCTGACCCCTAACCTCAGCCTTCCCGCCTAACTCTCCAAAACCCAGGAACCTTCCCCTGCTCGTTACGCCTGCGGACTCACCCTCGAGCCGCCGGTCCCGCTGCAGTCTTTGGCCCGGTACTGAGTCCTCGAGAACTCCTCCAGCAGCTCCCCGAGCCCAGGCTCCTGCGGCGGCGGGGTGCCCGAGGAAGTCGAGGACCCGGCCGAAGCGGCGGCGGCGGCGGCTCCCCGAGCGCCCGCCATGGCCCGGCCCCAAGTCCCCTCAGCGCCCCGCGTCCCTTCAGCGAGCCTCAGCCCGGCCCATGGCACCCGGAGGCAGCGGCTCCGAGCCTGGAACCTCCAGAACCGCTTCAGCCGCCGCCTTCCGCTCCCACTTCCGGCCCCGCCCCGCCCACCGGATGTTTACCTTTTTATGGCCAATCGGAGCCCGGGACCCGCGCCCCGCCCCACGCCCACGGCCTATGGGTCGCACGCGGAGCGATCCAAGTGGCCTCGAGGGAGGGGGCCGAGCCGCCCGCCGTCACCCGGCGCCCCGCCCCTCGGGGTTTCCCCCGGGGAAGCCAGGCTGAACCATCGAGGTCGGGGCCGGGGGGAGAAAGGGAGGGACGTAGGAAGGAGGAGCCCTGGGAATGCATCAGAGTGAGAGTGAAATAAACCATCACCGCAAGAAGAGGAAAGTCGTGGAGGCAACTAGTGTTGGCAGCCGCAGGAATAACAGTAACAAAAAGGCAGCGTTTCCTAAGGCACCCTGCTTGCTCTGCTCCTTACAGCGTCCCCGTGATTTTATAGTGCCCCTGTCATCTACCTGTTTCATTAATGAGGAAACCCACAATAGTAAGTGGCTTAGCATTATTTTTTATTTTTATTTATTGATTTTTAGAGAGAGAGGGGAAGGAGGGGAGAGAGAGAGAGACATCCGTTTATTGTTCCACTCATTTATGCATCCTTTGGTTGATTCTTGTATGTGCCCTGATCCAGGATGGAACCCACATCTTTGGCACAGCTGTCAAGCTCTAACCACTCGTCCACTCGTCCACTCGTCCACTCGTCCAGGGCTTTGGCTTGAAAGTCTGTGATTGAAAAGCCCATATTTTTCTTTTTTTCATAATGGTCTTGATGAGAACGTTCAAACCTGTATAAAAAAAAAAAAAGGTGAGGATATTTTTCTGTTGATTTTAGAGTAGAAAGGAAGGCAAAAGAGAGAAATAAACATCAATGTGAGAGAGACATATCAATTGGTTGCTGTCAGGTCTGACCAAATAATCAAATCTATATCTCCTCACCTGGGAAACTGACCTTTAGATCATTTTCCAACCAACATTCCTTTTCGCTTAGACCACATTCCACTTACTAAAACCAGTAACTTTCCCCTCCCGACTTGCCCAGGATCTGGACACACCCAGAGAATTCCCTGCTGAAAAAGTCCGCCTAGAGTCCTTAAAATCTGACTCCTGGACCCTGGGTGCTAGTACCATTTTGGGGCTCAGCCCATCTGGTCTCCAGATGATCTAATAAATTTATAAAATTCTTTACCTCTTTTGGCCTCATGTGTACCTCCTTTGGTGACACTAACAGCTGCCTCCTGCAAGTACCCCGACCAGGGCTGGGGATTGAACATGCAACCGAGGTACTTGCCCTTGACCAGGAATCAAAACCGACAACCATTTCTGTGCATGGGAAAATGCCTAACCAACTGAGCCACAAAAGCCAGAGCAAAAATAAATCTTTGACTAAAAAGTTAAATGCCCATCATGATCTTCCCAGTTAGCAATTTATGATCAGATCACCCTGTGAAGTTTTCTGCAGAACCCTTTTTTCACGCACAAGAATATTCCCAACATTTACAGAAGTGGAGCAAATAGCATAATGAATCCACCAGCCAGTTTCAATAATAATTATCATCTGCCCATCTGTGGTAGGCAGTTAGACAGACATACCTAAGCAGAACAAGGAGGATGGGCCCAGTACAGAAGGTTAACAGGCCAGAAAGCCCAGGTGCCTCACAAAGGACAAAGGCAGGGTGGGACTGGCCTGAGGGTGACCTTTCTTTCCCTAGCTTATCCTTAGTCCTGTGATTTGTACCCTGTTGACCTTCCCTTCCTAGAGATAACATTTAGGCCTCAGGTGTATTTCAGCTCCACACCCAGAACAGCAGCAAAACCTGACGGGCTATGCCATGGCTGACCTCAGGACCAGCTGCATTGATTGATGATCCCCCATGCCAACCAATCATGGGTCCTGGAAAGTGATAACCAGAATCATAAGCCAAGGTGTTTTCCACAGAGTCGTGCCTCCAGACGCTGAAGAACGAGCTACATGGACCAGAAGATTTAAGCAAAAGTGTGGAAAATTTATTATAAGCAGCTTCAGAATCCCCGCAAGGGGAGGGGGACCCAAGAATGGGCTGCCCATTAAAGCCTTGTCGTCCAGGGGTGCATATCTGCCACAAGCCTGCTGCTCTATCTGTGCCGTCACCTGATGGATTCCCTCAATAGTTTTTGCCCAGCAACGGACCTAAACTTTCCCTGTCTCTATGCGTTCTTTCTCTGTTCCTATCCTGAACTTTTTCTGTTTCTGTGTGTTCGTCCATCTTGTTTACAGCAGGCCCTCCCTTGGTTTCCCATGCCTCCCTTCCCATGCTTTGAGTCCAGAAACATTTTATTATTTCTGCTTGGTTGGTTCCTGCAGTTAGGTTGGCTCAGACTGCCATGTCTGTCCCTGCCCTATGGGCCTGCATTTCAAGTTAACCCTCTCAAAAGGACATACCTGAAAAGCTGCTGAATATTCTATTGAGATCTTCCCCTGGGACCTCCCCAAAATCTCCACCTTTAAAACTCTTAGGACAGCCGGGACCGGTTTGGCTCAGTGGATAGAGCGTCGGCCTGCGGACTGAAAGGTCCCGGGTTCGATTCCGGTTAAGGGCATGTACCTTGGTTGCGGGCACATCCCCAGTGGGGGGTATGCAAGAGGCAGCTGATCTATGATTCTCTCTCATCGATGTTTCTGGCTCTCTATCCCTCTCTCTTCCTCTCTGTGAAAAATCAATAAAATATATAAAAAATAAAACTCTTAGGACAGCCAAAACCGGTTTGGCTCAGTGAATAGCGCGTTGTTGGCCTAAGGACTGAAGGGTCCCAGGTTCAATTACGGTCAAGGGCACATACCTTGGTTGTGGGCACATCCCCAGTAGGAGGTATGCAGGAGGAAACTGATTGATGTTTCTCTCTCATCGACATTTCTAACTCTCTATCCCTCTCCCTTCCTCTCTGTAAAAAAAATAAATAAATAAATAATAAAAAATCAATAAAATATATTTAAATAAATAAATAAATAAATAAATAAATAAATAAAACTCTTAGGACAGAGGACCCAGCGCACTCCTCCTCCCAGAAGCACGCCAGTGCCTTGTCCCTCCGTCTCTCCCTCCCCCTCTCCATAGGTGGTTCACCATTACCGTCCTCACTCCCAAACTCCTAGGGCCCTTCCTATGCCTCTATAACTTGTCTCCTCAGCCCTTTTCTTCTATGAATTACTTCTTCTACCTCTGTGATTTTATAAAAAAGCTAGTGTCCTGCTGCACAGGTTTGTGCACATTGAAAGGAAATTAATTAGAAGAAATATTTTAATCTCTATATTCTCTCGTCTTGCTAATGAAAAGAAAATAGGATTCCACCAAGTCTCCCATCTACCTGCTCCAGGACTTCTGTGAGGATCAAATGAGATAAGGCACGGGGAAAACACTTCACAAACAGTTGGTTAAACTATAAAATGTTTGCACCTGGCTCTAAAGCAAGTTGTGTTCCTGGGCTGAAGAAACTCCAAGGAGGCTAGTCCTTAGGGCACATGTGTCAAACACAAGGCCCGCGGGCCAAATCCGCCCCGCCAGGCCTTGCAATGTGGCCCGCACTGCGCTGTCATCACTGCACTCCGCTGCGTTTCCATCACAATGACAGTTTATGACTGTTCAGTAAACCATTTGGCCCGCGATTTAGGCTGGATTTTAGATTTTGGCCCCTTCTCTGATTGAGTTCGATACCCCTACCTTAGGGCAAGGAAGCCAGGTGTTGCTACATGACGTCATTAGGCCATTACCTGGCACCCTTAGTGACTGTTTTGTGGGCTGCTTTTTGTGCTGGGGGTTTTGGCAGAAAAGGCTATGATTTGGTGGGCTGTCACTCTGAGGTGGTGGCAGGGCCTGTGTCCCACTTGGAGGAAGCCAAGTGTTGGTTTGTCCTGCCAGGCCCATGATGCTGTTTATTTTTAAATGGCCAGTGCATGTCATGGCAGCTCCTGCATTGAGTATCTGCCCCCTGGTGGTCAGTGCTCATCATATACTACCGGTCAGAGGGACAGACACCTAGCCTTTTATATAGAGAGACAGATGTTCTCTTATAGTTTGAGTCTTGGTTCTGAATTCTTTCCTAGCCAAGATTGCTAAACCCAGGTCAGATGCAACCTCACCAGTCTATACCTGGTGCCATTTCTGCCACCTACAACAAATCTATGTGTAGTCAATCCCCATCCAGTAGAATTATTTTAAAGCAAATCTCATTATTTCATCTTTAAATAATGATTTATCTCTGACAGATTACTACTGTTAAAAAATGCTTAATGCCCTGGCCGATGTGGCTCAGTCTGTTGAGTGAAGTGCTGTGCACCAAAAGGTCGCTGTTTGATTCCTGAGCAGCCGATCTATGTTTCTTCTCTTGCTGATGTTTCTCTCTCTCTTCCTTTTCCTTCCTCTCTCTCTAATATTCCCCTCTGGGGATCGAGCCCACAACCCAGGCATGTGCACTGACTGGAAATCAAACTATGATCTCCTGGTTCATGGGCTGACACTCAATCATTGAGCAACATGGGCCAGGATCTAAAATCAATTTTTTAAGCCCTAGCTCAGTGGATGGAACATCCGCCTGCAGACGGAAGGGTCCCAGGATTGATTCCCATCAAGGGCACATACCTCAGTTGCAGGCTCCTCCCTGTCGGGGCACTGGTTCATGCCAGAGAAAACCAATCAATGTGTTTCTCTCACATAGATGTTTCTCTCAGTTTTTCCCTCTCTCTTTCACTTCACTCTCTCTAAAAATCAATGGAAAAATATCCTCAGGTGAGGATTTAAAAAATAAATTAATTAATTTAAAAAATAATAAAATAAATTTTTAAAAATTGCTTAAGAAAGACAATTTATCCCTAACCAGTTTTGCTCAGTGGATAGAGCATCAGCCTGAGGGCTCAAGGGTCCCAGGTTCAATTCCTTTCAAGGGCATGTACCTTGGTTGCAGGCATATCCCCAACAGGGGATGTGCAGGAGGCAGCTGATTGAAGTTTCTCTATCATCGATATTTCTAACTCTCTGTCCCTCTGTTTTCCTCTCTGTAAAAAATCAATAAAATATATATTTAAAATAAAATATATAAGGACCTCATACAGCTTCACACCAAAAAACCCACAATCAAACATTTAAAAAGGCAGAGGACAGAACTGAGCAAAAAGGAAAAGAAGAGAGAACTCATGGACTTGGACAACAATGTGGTGATGAGAGGGGGTAGAGGAGGAAAGGGAGCTGGAAGAGGGCATAAAGGGGCTAAATTGTGACGAGGAAATAAATAAATAGACAAATAAATAAATGGGCAGCGGACCTGAATAGACATTTCTGGAAAAAAGGACATACAGATGGCCAACAGACACATAAAAAAATGCTCAACATCTCTAATCACCAGAGAAATGCAAATCCAGACCACAGTGAGATATTGCCTCACATGTGTCAGAATGGCTACCATTAATTAATCAACCAATAACAAGTGCTGACAAGGATGTGGAGAAAAGAGAATCATATACTGCTGGTGGAATTGTAGATTAGTGCAGCCACTATGGAAAAATAGTATGGAGGCTCCTCAAAACAAAACAAAACAAAAACACCCTAAAAATAGAGCTGCCACCGAAATCCATTTGGCTCAGTGGATAGAGCATTGGCCTGCGGGCTGAAGGATCCCGAGTTCGATTCCGGTTAAGGGCATGTACCTTGGTTGTGGGCACATCCCCAGTAGGAGGTGTGCAAGAGACAGCTGATTGATGACTCTCTCTCATCGATGTTTCTAACTCTCTATCCCTCTCTCTTCCTCTCTGTAAAAA